TTTCGGGCCCTATGTACCATAACAACATGTCTGACGTCGAATTTGTTGCTTTAACTGCTATACTACTTTTCGATCCGGGTAAGGCTCTTAAAGATCGTAAGAACCAGCCTTTTTCATTTACTTGTTTCCAGCTGCCATTGGTTTGAGTGAACGTGGTAGCCGAACAGTGCGTGAAGCACGCGATCGAGTCTATAATGACTGGTTTAGTTTTTACGATAAAATGGGTGTACTAGATGTTGGTCAACGAGTAGGAAACACCATGTTGCTTCTTCCAGCTTTAATGGTTAGTATAAAATCGATAAGACGTCACGCAACTCAAGAACGGCCAGACAATAATCAGTTATGCGATGTAACTTAGGATTCTGCTCGTAATTGTGTAGCATCCATTTTCAAGAACTCTTTACCCTCTATACTTTTTGAATTTTTTTCAGACAACGGTGAAGAGAACAGAGGAAAATTTCCGACTTATACAGGTTTTCGATCTTTTCCATTATGACAAAATCATAGATGAGCTTATGCATTTGGGTAGTTAGAGTCCTTTTTGCTCCTGAATTACATACTGTAGTAGACTAGTTTCGTATCTCTTTCACTGTTACATCTCTGATTGTTCGTTTGTTTCTTAGATCTTTTGGACTGTTGCATTGAATAACGTGAAACAAATGCAATATGATTCTATTTTTTTCTCAGTAGTCTCGTTGAATTATATCTTCGAGACTTCTCTCCTTCAAGTACTTCTCTCACTGTGCCTAGCCTTCAATTATGCTTGTCTATCGCATGTTCTTTATGTTCGATCTTTGATTTTTTAATGTCAATATTTTATTATTTAATCTTTTTCTATTGTCCAGTCAATTCATTTTACGACTACTACAGAACTTTTCTTGTGTAGAGGACTGCTCACCGCCATTGTGTCTCGCCTTTGCCGACAATTGTTCCTTTTTATGTTCCAAACATAGCGTGAAACATCAATTCTTGCTGAAAAAGGGGTATTGATGTCTTTATTAGTTTCTCCTAAGGGTTTTCTTCTTGATTATGCACCGCTACTCCGTAGTACTCACAAATTGAATCGTGAAATGATTCACGTTCCTGTAGGCAAAGTCAATTTACACCTAGTCCTCTAGCTCCTTTTCCATTTGATTCATCTTTTTTTCCGCTAGTTTCTTTGCCTTGCAGACAATGATTTTTCACTGGTCATTTTTCTTCTGATATAATAATGAAAATATGCATTACTTTGCCTTTTTTATAAGACAGTGTATTACTCACTTACATACAGCACTTGACAATATGTCGTGTACTTTTCCGTTAATTGGACCCACTTTTCCACGTTATAATGTGAAAACTAGTAATGTCTCCTAAGTGCTTAAATTATTACTCGCGAATTAATTGTTTACCGAATCGGTTGGTGGA